AAACCCTAGGTTTTTTCCAGTCTTTATCATCAGTTGATCGCGTTTTTGTTCGAAACAAGAAATTCAAACCGAATTAGATTCTCTAACCCTAACTTAGTTAAATTATATTCTAAAATAAATATTCCAATTCATAAATTAAGGCCTTAGCCCTTATATTTTACTTAAATCACAAATTGACCCCAAGTTAGTACCATTGTATATATATATATATATATATATTTGTACCTCTTATTCATCAAATCTTTTTGTACACAATATCTATGGAATTTGTACACAAAATAAATAGAAAAATCTCCCCAAATCTTAAGCACGTGTCATACCTCCTAGGCTATAATCATTGTACTTTAGCACAAACAAATCCCTTGAAATCTTGGAACAATGATGACCTTGGTACCTATAAAGATTTGCTATGAGTGTACTTCTAACTAAAAGGTATTTAAATTAGCCTTAAACCTAACTAGATCATAATTAAATACACAAATAAGGTTCCAATACATGAGTTTAATTTCAAGCCCTCACTTCTTTTATTAATTTCAAGATTTGCCCCAAACTAGTACATGTACTTTTTATACTATAGTACCATCAAATCAATTTGTGGATCTATCTATATATATTGGGAATATGTCCATAGTACTCAAAAATTGAATAAAATATTCCCCATTTCTCTTCCCCATGGCCGGTCAACCTAGGAGAGTGTGAGGGACCAATTTTCAAGACTTGTAATTATGACATTCTAGAAGCAAAGTACAAAGTACAAGGGTTATGTTCCCAACCTAATTCTATTCCAACTAGAGGCCAACTAAATCTTATCTAATCACATAATTAAGTCCCCTAATCACTCCCTATTCCATTAGACTCGAAGTAAATCCAAACTTTTCAAACCAATTCTAACTAATGGGCCTTTGTGTCTTTTCACACCAAATTTGCCTATATATACAACCACCCATTTAGCATAGCATACACAAATAACAAACACACGCCTACATTCAGCCTAGAGGAGAGAAAGGAGAGCAAGAGAAGAGTCTTGAGAGGGAGAGCAAGGAAGAGGAGAGCAATCTTGTTCAACTTGGCCTAGCCTAGCCAGTAAGCCACAACACAACTCTCTCTTTTATTTTTCTTTTTCAAATACATGCTCTTAGAAGTTTTAAACATTAATTTCAAATGTGTTTTGATAGTATTCCCATGTTAAAAATGAAAGGAGTTGAGCCTTGATTCTACCCTTCTTATATTTCTCTTAATCGGTATAAGACTACCTTTTTCCATATCAAACTCACAAAATTTCCAAAGGCACACCTTCACCTTAAATTTCTGGGTTTAATACATATTATTTATCATGTTTTCATCACAAGAGAAGTGAAAAATTTCCCCTAGCCGACCTCTTTTCTCATCAACTTTCTATTTTCAAGAACTATGCCAGAAAAATCTATTTTAAAGACAACTTTCAAAAATTCTAGAAACATACATAAAAATCTTCTGGACCTCCATTTTATGTAAAAATCTTCCTTAAGGAGTTTTCTTTCAACTAAAATTGGTTTCATTGAAAATGAGTGAGCGGTTTGTGAGAAAATCTTATTTTCGTAGCGATCGACGAATCTGGACAGCGCTGCAACATTTCTTAAATAACTAAAAATCTAGAAAAGCTATCACATTTCCGAAACACGTTCTGAAAACTAGATTAAATTCTCTATGAACCATAGGAAGGCCGAGTTCGATAAAAATCTAAAATAGCCCTTTTGATTTTAATCTTTAAATGGTACTAAATTTGAAAATTTAGTTTTGCATGGGTGTTTTATGCTCTTGTATTCATGAATATGCTTATTAGTTTATGATCATACCTTGGTATGATATTGCATGTGTTATGGTTATGCTCCTTATCTTCTTCATATTAATGATGCTCATGCTTATGTGGATATTACTATCTTGTTGAGTTTGTTCTAACTTGACTTAAAACATTGATCCAAACGGAAAACTTAATTGGGATGGTATTGGGTTTTCGATCACTTGAATAATGAAGAGATGATAATGTGTTATGTATAGATTGATGGGATGTGCTCCCTAATTGAAGTTTAAGTCTTGTGCAAGCCGTTGTCGCGTAAACCCTAGAATGGAACGGACGTATTCGGACTCTTTGGGATGGTTTGATTGGTGAGATAAGGTTGGGTCCGAATGGGACATTCAGGATGATAAAAATTTTTTAGAAGGATAAGGTTGGATTCAGGAGATAAAACCTTTCTCTTTTCGTTGTCCTTTTCTCTTTTCGCTGTCCCTTTTGAGGCCCTGTATTTAATGGTTAATATATTATCTGATGTTCCCCATTTTTGGGGCATCACAGACGTTGTTTTGGTTTTTTTTTTTTTTTACGTTTTTCTGAAGAAGAAGAAAAAAAAGGAGCTGGGTTTCATCAACACATCATCATCATCAAAAGGAGTTGGGTTTCATGAACACATCATCGCCATCAACAACATCTTCATCACCATCATCAACAATTTTTTTTTTCCCTTCATCTTCAGATCCAAATCAACTAGAAAAAAAAAATGTAGAGAAAACAGAGTTTGAAATCAACAACATCTTCATCAACACATCATCATTATCAACAACAACATCTTCATCAACACATCATCATTATCAACAACAACATCTTCATCAACATCAACACATCATCATCATCAACAAATTTTTTTTTTCCCCTCATCTTCAGATCCAGATCAACTAGAAAAAAAAAATTAGAGTCTGAAAGAGGCGATCAGCGATACCCACCGATGCCGCCACCGGCAGAGAGAGAAAAAGACGCCGCCTTCTCTTCCTCCTCTCTTCCTTCTCTTCCTCCTCTCTTTTCTCTTCTCTTCTCTCTCTCGCCTCTTCTCTCTTCTGTATTTGAAAGCAAGAAAAATAAAGAAGAAAAAAAAAAAAGAATACCCCACTTTCGGGCCAAATTTCTCGAGCTACGAAGTATTATTGATTATGTTATTCCTAATGACACATTTTAAGCTAATTAAATCTTGGTTGTTGGAGAAGACCAAAGCGAGTTGACATGAACTATGAAAAATAGTTTCTAAAATCACGTCAACAATTGAGAATCAAACAATTTAACTCCATTCCAAACACATAAAAATGCATTCAACAACGAATCCTTACGTTGCTGCCTATGAGTAATAACATCATCCCATTAAAATCCAAGTAAGGATAATTGTTTTCACAGGTCACAGCAAAAAATGATTGAAACAAACCAACTATCTAATTGTTGTTGTTTAGTATTTTATTTTCTTACAAAAAAAGAGAGTAGCAAACTTTCTCTGTACTTGTCTTTCATCAACAATGTCACTTCCACTCCTCTTTAGCCTCTTTTTTTTCTCCTCATTAATGTATATATGATATATATTCCTACATATATTAGGTATTGATTTTCTAGATATATTAGGTATTGCCATAGTTAGGTCTCTTATAGGATACTCTTTCTCATAGTTAGATTTCTAATAAGATACTCTTTCTCAGCCTATATATATAGGCCTTCTATTGTATAGGACAATTCATCCAATACAGTACTTTCTCTCTCTCTCTCTCTCTCTCTCTCTCTCTCTCTCTCTCTCTCTTTACTATTCTAACATGGTATCAGAACTAGGTTAAGAACCTAGTAATTTCGCTTCACCAGCAGACGGCAGCCTCGCCTTGGCCGCCCGTCGGATCTCAACCTATTCCACTATCACGTTTTCCTTTCCATTAGTTTATTCCTACCCCAAATATTTCTATCAAATTTTCTCCACTTCATCTCTCTCTGCTTCAACCTCAAATTGGTTTCTATCTTCAAACCTATTTGAGTTTGAGGAGGGGTAGTATACCTATATCATGGTGAATATGGTTATACACCATGTAAACCACCTAGTCGTCTATCCAAGCCACCGTCTATCCAAGCTGCACTCTTTGGCGCACAACCCAAATTGCCCCTCTCTGGCGCACAATACAAGCCGTTTTCTCGGGCGCACCACCAAACTCACCCCCTAGCACACTATCTAAGTTGCCTCTTGGTATACTTAGTCATCTGTTGCCATTTATTGTTCAGCACCACGTCATAAGTTATGTGTGTGCCACGCTTACTAGTTCAACATCCAGTCTCTACAACAGTCCAGCATGACCTTAAACTATCCTGACATTGATTCCGGTTAACTCCTGGTTAACAAATCTCTACAACGGTTCAACATGACCTCTTTAAACTGTCCCAACATTGATTCCGGTTAGCTCCTACAACGATCCAACATGACCTTAATTTGATCTTGGTATTAGTTCCAGGCAGTTTCTATATCGGTCTGGCACAACCTTAAATTGTCCTGACATTAGTTTCATCTAGTTCCTATAATGGTCCAACACAACCATAAATTGTCTCCCGGCATTAGTTTCGGCCTCTGATCTATTTCAAGTGCCCTTACGCTCCCGTTCGGATTTTGTAATCTATTTGCCTTTTATTTCATATTTTAGTTTCTCTCTCCAAACTCTAGATGTTTATCCTCCTTGAATTTGAGGAGGGATGTTAATGTATATATGGTATATATTCCTACATATATTAAGTATTGATTTCTTAGATATATTAGGTATTGCCATAATTAGGTCTCTTATAGGATACTATTTCTCATAGTTAAATTTCTAGTAGGATACTCTTTCTCAGTCTATATATACACGTCTTCTATTGTATAGGACAATTCATTCAACACAATTCATTCAATACAATACTTATTATTTTTTCTCTCTCTCTCTACTATTCTAACACTCCTCCAACCTATTCTTATCTCCAAACCAAGTCTTTCTTTTTAATTACTGCGATTATACAATAGGTAACTTGTTCAACAATTACTCCCTTCTACGACTATAACATTAACCAAGCCTTCAATACTCTCCAATACCACACGGCTGCCACTGGCTTCAACACTTAACAACACATATCTAGTCACCGCCCTTGCCCTTTGCCACAGCAGCTAACCCTACTTGACTGCCAAACATACATCGATGGGATGCAGCTCGCCTGTCCCAATAACTTCCAGACCGAGATCCAAATCTGGTATGACTACTGCATGGTCTGGTACTCCACTGACAACTTCATTGGTAAGGTTGACAACACTATCAAATACGAAGCTACTGACCTAACGTATGCTCCTGACCCAATTTCTTATGTCGAGAGCGTGAAGTTATTGATGGACAGTCTATTATACGAGGCAAATTTTTTGTCTAAAAAGAGCTTTGGTGTACGAAAGATCCAGTTGCTAAATAACCCGATGCTCTACGGCTACTTTGATTGCACTCTTGATATTTCTGCAGAAGATTGCACAACATGTTTTACAGAGGCTATGAGGGAGACAGAATTATGGTGTATAACTAGACGGGACTGTTGGGTCTTGACACCGAGTTTCAATGCACGGTTCAGTAGGGACCCAGTTCATGTTGACATGGTTAATGCACCATTGATTACTGACAATCGTTATTATGGTGGCAGCCATAGTAGAGGAGGGTTCTAAATCGCGGTATCAGGTTACGTTACGGTATCGATCGCGGAGTATCAGTATCGGCAGTACCGATCGATACATATTGGGAATTGGGTGTCATGGCAGTGAAATTTTAAAAATCATTTCACAGCTTTTTCAACTTTTTCTTTCCTATACCAGTCTAAACCGGTGAGTATCGACTCGTCGTGGCTTGTGTTACGACTTGTGTAACGGTTACAGACCTGTCATGACCCGCTCCCCGTACCCAAGGGTTAAGTGTCATGATGGCCAGTAACTGAAGTTACCTCCGGCCAATTCTTGAACAAATTAATAAACGCGAGCGGAAATAATATTTAAGTGAGGGCACCAAAATAATCATCGGAGCTTCTATTTTTATTACAAAATTTATTGACCGAAAAGGCCGATATTTACATAGAAAAATATCATAAAAGTTTTAGGTGTGTCTATTCCACAACCCCGCGTCTAAGATTTTCCAAAAGCTATTTCTGAATTGTATTGTTTCTTAAAAATTGGTAAACAGCTATAAGCACATAACAGAGTGAAAAATATTATACTAAGAGCATAAGGGCCTAAAATTCACCATGGATAATTATTGGCTAAACAGAGTTTGATATTAAAATACAGAATATATAATACGGAAATCGTTTAACATATAATACAAAATAATCATAACCACGATACAGAACGGAACAGAACAGATGTATGGACTCAAGAGGTGGCTCGTACGAACTCTACAGGTGACTCCCACAATAGTGTAGCACTTAGCTCCATACAGCACTTTGTTCCACATCAGAAATCAGAGTGTCAGTGGATCCATGACAGACAGAGGGTCACAAAGTGACTAATCAGAAGGCCAATGGTTATTTAAGTCTCCCAAGGCATGGGACTTCTGTAGTGGTACTTATAAAATATTTACTCAAAATACATTTTAATAAGCAATTATATCCATGGGGTTTTCCTTAATATATCAAATAAGGTTCATAAATAAATAAGATAATTAAAAATGCTAATATAATATATAAAACATAATTTACCTCACTCTTTTTTTCCACTACCAAAGATCATTTCGTCTTCCTGTATTTTCTTCCCCTTTTCTTAGTTTCTTTTTTCCTTAACTTGAACATCTCCTTCCTATTTATAGGGAGTTAATTCGTGAGCCTCAAGCCACCACTCATACACGTGGCTCATCCATATGCTTCTCCATCAATTCATGCTTATCCAACATATGTGACTCGCCACACTTATGATGCATAATCATCATCCTAAGCTACATGTTGCTTTGGTTTGTTCTTTTTTTTTCTTTTTTTATTTACTTTTTCTTTTTTTCTTTTCTATAAAATGACCCTAATGTAAATAAATTACACTTTATTTTATTTTACTCTTACAAAATATTTAATTAAACATTTAAGATTTTTCTTATTTATAATTAAATAACACTAATATAAAATTTAAGGGACAAATTAAATTTTCAGGTTGTTACAAGATCGATACGTACCGGGACTCGGCCGATACGCCTGCGATTTTTAATCTCAGTAGTATACCGGCCTGTAGCCATTGCGGTACCCTATTTTTCCGATACGTACATATCGGTCGGTTTTTAGAACTATGAGGGAGTGGTCCGATTACTTGGTATTCGGTTTGGGTGGTGGTTCTAACAGTTGCTTTGGTAGTTAGGTTGTTATTGGTTGTTGGTGTAAAGGCAAGTAAGAAAGGGATTGTGAAGATAGAGAATGCAAATGAGATGATGAAGAGAGAGGGTATTGGAACAAGGCCTTTCCTTTTCGATTTGAATGAGTTGGTTGCTGCCACTGATAACTTTTCAGCTCCCAATTTATTGGGTACAGGAAGATTTGGCACTATATATAATATAAGGTATAAACTTATCCCTTTTAAAGTATCCTTTAGCATGAAAATTTTGTTTGTTTTGTTTTCCTTTTTTCTTTTTCGAGCTTTTCATTTGTTGAGGTTGTTAAGGTTCTATAACTATATCTTGATATATGAAAAGCTCATGTTTCAGGGGATTATGCCTAATGGTGAAAAAATAGCAGTAATGAAACTTGCAAATGGTTCGATTCAAGGACTCGGAGTATTCTTCAATGAAGTCTATATAAATATTTCTGAATGAATTGTATATTCAACTTGTATTGATTGAACAAAGAATACATCATTTATATAGAACACTAAATCCTAATCCTGCATGAATACATCACTGATATATAGAAGTCTAATAGATATAGGACTCTAATTCGTAATCCTATAAGGAAAAAAGAGAACACATTCTTACACCTACGCTCAAACTCAAGGTGTTTTAGCAGAAAACACTAAGAGTTTGTCAAGAAAAAATCGAAACCGAGTAGTGGTGTGAGTCTTGGTGAAGAAGTCAGCAAGTTGCAGAGCCGAAGAGACAAAAGGAAGTAAGATAAAGCCAAACTGCAGATGCTGACGGACGAAGTGACAATCAATCTCAATATGCTTGGTCCATTCATGGAAGACAGTGTTATGAGCAATTTGAATAGCACTTTGGTTGACACAATAGAAAGAGGTTAGGGAAGACTGAGGGACGCCCAAGTCAGATAAGAGACCAAAAAGCCAGACAATTTCAATAGTAGCATGAGTCATAACACGATACTCAGCTTCGGCATTAGAACGGGCAACAACAGTTTGTTTCTTACTTTTCTAAGAAATCAGGGAATCACCAAGAAACATACAAAAATCAGAAGTAGATTTACGATCATTAATATCACCAGTCCAATCAGCATCAGCATAAGCCACCAAGTCTAAGGAAAAAGTAGAAGAGAATAGCAAGCCTTGGAAGATAGTACTATGAAGATATCGAAGAATCCGAAGCAAAGCAGCCCAATATGTAGTGACCATAGACTGGAAAGTACGGTATATCTGGTAGAAGTCAGACTTATGAGTCATAAGATAAACCCACGTGTAACAGGTGCAATCATCAACAAAAGACACATAGTATGTAGAACGTAAGAATAGGAGAGGGTCCCCAGACATCAGTATGTACAAGAGAAAAAGGAGAAACAGAAATAGATATACTTTTATTAAATGGTAAAGCTAACATTTTAGCAAGGTTACACCCTCGATATTCATCAATTTGACTAGGAGAAACCTTATCCAATAACCCTAACTGAGCTAAAGATCGTAAGCGGTCAACAGACAAATGACCGATGCAAGAATACCGCAAATAAAACTAACTTGACTGAGAATCTAACTGAAACGAGGAAAGTGCAGCTGGAGAGATAGATAAGAGAAGATACAAGCTTTCGACCACATAGAGATCTCCAACTCTACGACCGGTCCCAATCTGCTTTTTGGACACCCGATCCTGCACACAACAGATAGAAGAGGAAAAGAAAGCATCAAAACCAGATGTATCAAGTTGACTGATAGATAATAAACTGACAGATAACTGAGGGACATAAAGAACAGAAGGAATAGTAACAACAGACATGGCAGAGGGTAAGACAGACCTAATAGACAGAATAGACATACCAGACCCATTAGCAGTATTAATAGTAATGGGAACGGGTGGGGGAATACAGTTTTGAAGTAAGGAAATATGAGAAGTCATATGATGAGAGGCACCAGAATAAAAAATAAATAGAAGAAGGGATATCTGAAGAGGACTCAAGCAAACCTGAATGAAGAGAGGTAAGAGTAGAGGTAGATGAGGATGGTTGAGAGGTGGACAGAAGATGCTAAAGTTGTGCGACCTAAGCACTCAAGGAAGCCAGGTCAGGATCAAAAAGCCGGAGCAGATACAGTATAAGCAGCAGGAGGGCGAAAAGTACTCGACGTAGGACCTTAGAACTATGGCTGAGACGACTGAGTAGACTGACGACTCTTCTTGGGACAGTTGTACTTTCAATAACCTTTTTGATGGCAGAAAGCACACTCATCTGATGCTAAGGGCCCCTTTTTGGGCTTGGCAGAAGACTGAGGCTGAGAAGCAGATGGAGTCGCCAATAAAGGTGGTTATGCTAAGAAGACTAAAGGAGACAGAGTTTGACTGGCCATCTTAAGATGGGTTTCCTTGGAGAGGAGCTCATGAACAATCGCATCTACAGAGGGAAGAGGAGACCGATAAAGGATGCCACCACGGATAGCCTCATACTAAGGAAAAAGAGCCGTTAAGAACTGTATTAAATGACCTTGCTCTCGAAACTCAACAAAAGCGTCTAGTGCCTTGAGACTAGATGGTTCCATGAGAGCCAACTGATCCCAGAGACCTGTTATCTCATTGTAGAAGTCCTGAATAGATTGATCCTGCTAGTGAGCACTCTGAATCGTTGTTTCTAACTCATACCGTTTGGCAAAGTTGGATTGTTGATATACACCCAATAAATAGTCCCACACCTCCTTGGCAGTACTATATTTGGAAAACATCATTCAAATTCGGTCATCTACAGAATTATGAAACCAGGTCAAAACTTGGGCATTACCAAATCCTAAGTGTCACAGTAAGTCGGATATCTTTCTTGTTTCGGGTCCAATAGACGAGGAACAGAACCAGAAACATAGCCCTATTTTTTCTGACCAAGAAGGAAATTCTTCATAACACTAGCCCAATAAGCATTATTAGCACCAGTGAGTTTACATCTGATGGCTTGAGTTTTGGTATTCGTCATTGTAATAAACTAAAGGTTAATGGGTCAAAGTATACTAATAACTTAATAAATGGGCCAAACAGGAATGAGGGTTTTAATAGTATTGATAACAAATCATAGAGACAGAGATAGAGAGATGAGAACCAGAGTCACGAGAGAGAGTCGTGATAATGAACCGAGTGAGAGCCACACAGAGAGAGAGAGAGAGAGAGAGAGAGAGTCGGATAATGACGAGAGGGAGTCGCAATGATATACCGAGATGAAGCCGACGAGGACGGAGAGAGATGCGACGAAGCAAGCGCGATGGTTGATCGCGATTTACAGCCGATGGGTTGTGACTGAACAAAGAGGCCATGGCTGTTAGGGTTTCGACTCTGCAAGCTAGGGTTT